AGACTAATCATACTTGGAGTGTAGCTAATTGGAGTGCTGTTTTGATAAAAAAAAATACAATATGGTACACTTTGACTTGAACGTTACCGTTTTGAAAATAGTCCAATAAACAGAACTGGCTTAGTTAACTAAACTTTTGTAATACCTGGACTTAAAGAAACAATCGAGGGCGTTTCAAACCATTTCATTGGGACATATTCGATTTCTTTATTGAAAGATTTGTCTCCATCGCTTAAGGTGGCACAGCCATCCTCTGCAAAGAGCAATGAGAACAATGAGTTTTAGCCTTTTAAAATTTAGGATTCAGCGACAATCGTTAATTCAAGCCTCAGCTTTTAGGGCTCACGAGTAATGCTGAGCCTTTTTCTGTTGTAAAGATGTGGCGTAGTAATTTTTATCTTGTTTCTTGTACAAGCCTTACACATAAACTGACTTTGAAAACATGCAAATTTGAGGTTAAGGTTAGGCTTAGGTTATCGTAGACTTCATCCCAAACACACTTTTTTTTTCGTTACTTTTCCTTTCACCACGCAAGTCTGCCTCATGATAAGAGGTGGTAAATATTACTTCTAACCATTTACTCAGATCACAGAATCTTAGAAGCACTGATGTTGGTATCATTCATAGTTCAAGGGTTTCCTTCATGGTTCGAGTCCGTGGATAAAAGCTAAACATGCACGTGTTTAAGGCTGGTACCTGTTCTACCTCTAAAACACTTGGACAGCCATTAGGTTTACTACCCACCTACAACTATCAGCTATCGTTGAGTAAAACCTCAGCTAGGGGTCCACATAACGTATCATTTCGCAGGTATATGTTTTTCTAAACTTCGCTTTAATAAATAACTTATTTGCAAAATGATGTTACCCTCCTTTTTGAAGCAATGCTTCATGTTCTTAGACTAGCGTGTCAACAGTTGCACCTAAATAAAATTTTCCATAGCGATAAAAAAAAAAATAAAAAAAAAACTAAGTTTGAGTATGAAAATAAACTGTAGCAACTTTAAGAAATATTGGGATGATAATTACTAAACTAAAAATTAATCTCTTGAAATTAGAAAAAATCAGACGACACATTCAATTGCTGGAGTTCTCTAGTTTTTTTCTTTCCGAAGGCGTTTAGGCCATTAACATTTAGTTTGTTTCCTCGACCCTTACTCTCACACCTGAGAAAGAGATACTTGGATTTACCAACGCGTCCTTAAAGTAAGAAAAAAGACAAATCATTACGGAACCTCTTACCTTTACCATATCCGAGATCCAAAGTTGTAAGAGAGACAAATACGAGTAATCGTTGCATTTCCTATCCTTTTTGAAATGGAAACTGATTGGTGTCTGGCTCTACGAGATGATGTCCGACCTGAGCAAATGCTTTCCTTAAAAAGTTATTTGGCGCCCATAAATTACCTTAAAACGCCTTGAGCAGATTGCAATATCAAGAACTAATAAATACAGGATTTATATGTGTGTATTTTTTCCTTGTGTAAAAGGATATGCTTGTCATCGTTTATAAGTGCTTTACCTGGTTGCTAAAGACGGCTTTCTTGTGCTTGAGTTCATAAATGTTTTTTAAATTTTTGTGACGTAATGAGAATGCCGCAACTTCAAGATTACGTAACTCGTCCATGCGCTTGGCGTGTTCGCTTGTTCTATAATGATGCGCCGACTGGCGAGAGACCATTTACGAGAATTACGAACTCTTAGGCATCCGAGTGTCGCACGAAAGAGTGTGTACACAAGAGCGTCCCACACGCGAAAAAAGTTAATTTTTTTGTTTAAGGCTTTGTCCTTAGAGACTAGCCAACCAGTATTGAAGAGCAATGCCTATTTTAGTTCTATGCATGATATTGGGGGATTTTTTTAGCGATGTTTTCCAACACCAACATGCGTTTTTTTTGCTGTCTATTCTTTTTTAATCTGCTCCGCGCGTAAAGCATTTGCCCATGCCTCGTACTTCCTTAGCACTCTTTTGTCTTCTTTTCAAAGTTTTTGTTCCTGCGATTTGATTTATGACGAGTGAAAGGAGGCATTCACAGAGATCTCAGCAGGATAACAAAAACAGATATACCAAAAAAATCAAAACAAGGCGTTTGACACGGTTTACATCAATAAGACTGGAATCGAAGCCTGCAAAAAAACAATGTTGCAACACCATAAGCGGATCAGTTACTTGAATACGATATTTATTGCAAAAGGTAAAGTTCTGCACTTACGTTCTTGAATCGTAAATTCTCAACGGATGGTGGCAGAGGTTACGACTTGGTATAAGGTGAAGTACACTTCAAGCATAACAATTTAAATTACTAAACATTTGGTTTTTTTCCCTTTTGAATACAATTTCGTATTTTCATCCAAATTCTACTGGCTGGAAACTCTTAAGGTGAAGACCATTATTGCAGGCCACCTAAATCTATCGCTATCAGTGTTACTCAGAATTGACCGCTACAAATCGGAATTCCTGATTTTCACTTACTTAATTTTATGAATACATCGGTAAAGTGCGGTTTGTTTTTTAACTTTGATAGGTTTATAACCTCGCATAAGCAATGTCCTGGACTAATTTTTAAGCTATATCGATTTGAATTCAAAACTTCTCAAGATCAGTTAAATGCGAAGGCAGTCGTATTCCTATTATTTATTTTTCTTTGATTGCTTTTTTCATCTCTCAGTGCATAACATTGAATTCAAAAACAGCATCAACTGACAAAAATGTTTCATTCGCATATGAATCACCGAATGATTGATTTCTTTTTAAAGCTCGAGATGTCCTTTAAGAGTTTTATATACTATCCGAGAAGTTTATTTCACAAATCTCGCTGTGATTTATTTTATTGTTTGAATAAATAACCACCAATAGCGTATACCTGTTATGTAAAGAAAACAAACTCCATAAATCAATATTAATATGAAAATGTTCGTTAGTTTGAGATTTCAGCCTACCTTCCGTTTTCGTTCAGCTTTCTCTTGGTTTCTTTAAGATGCATACCATGCAACGTGTAAGAACTATTAAAGAATGAATGAATTATAAAAGAAGAGAGAGACACGCAAATAACAAACAAGCTGTCGGGAGAAGTTAAATTTCTTGGTAACATGAAAGGAATGTTATACATCTTTTTGTTGTACCACACTTTGCCGAAGGTTGCACCTTTGCTGTGACGAAGGGCTCATGCTCGAGACGTCAGCGTTAAAACCCTTCACGGTTTCCAATTTACTTTATCAACTCAGTTAAAAAACTGAAAAAAAAATTACCTTGTTATAGCCTCCACCACCAAAACCACCAAAACCCCCTACCACCACCACCCCCTACCACCACCAACAACACCACCCCCTACCACCACCACCGTTTACTTGATCCTTTAAAATTTTCCAGTACAATAAATAGTGAAATATTTTCCACCGCTAGAAAAGAAATTTCGTAGCTCCAAGCGACCATATAATATTCTATTTATTGTATAAATAACAATTAAAAAACAGGCCATTTTTTTCAATTGCGTTTCAAAGGTGCGATTTATTATGTAACCATAGTAACTTGCGACGATATTGCGTTTTCGCACGAAGGCTCACCTGGTATTTCATTGGCGTTTCAATAATAAATATTTTTAATTTTTCTTTTTTTTTATTTTTTTAACCGGCTGTCTTATTTAGGTCAACGGCACGAAATGTTTGACCAATACTTTAATTAAATATCTCAGCCCTTCTCATATATTTTTTGGTCAATATTTGTCCACTAAATATTCCTAGTTGAAGCCACTATGTAATTTTCCTAGAAGTAATTTCATATTGGAAAATGCACATTTCATTTATTTATTTGATACGTGTTTCACAGATACTAAAATGACCCGGAAAATATGCAAAATTTTCCTTCCCACCATATTTCTTGGAGAGAAAAAGGCATGTTTGTATTTTCATATATTAATGAACAGATGTCTGAAAACTGACAAATTGGTCAACACGTTTGAAGTAAATTTTTCATAAACAGGAACCAGTTCTCAACCCAAAGGTGTAAAACATTGCACGACTTAATTTTTTTTTTTAATTTACAATTCATTGTTATCAGTACCATGCTTTTTGGTTAGACATTTATTCATCCCCAACCTAGAATGCATTATAAATGGTTAATACATATAAATTATTCCAAAACGCCTAACATCTGATTACCAATGAAATTAATGCTACTGTACTCATTTTATGAGATTTATGAGCTGATAACTCTTTTGTCTTTCATAACAGGTTTACCGCTTCGCCGTTTCAGACGGATCAACACCGCCCTCAGATTGGTTGTAGCGCCAGCTCCTCCATGTCTGCTCAAATCTCCTGGCTGGCATTTTCTTTCATATTTTTTATGTTTGACCCGGCCACATTAGCGGATCAAAATGATAAAGAGTAAGTCCTATTGGTAAAAACCTACTAATACTTTGCTTCTATGATATTCCGTCGTTAGATGACTATTCCGATGTCGTCAGGGTCTTTCACTCTAAAACCGAATCATCCCAGTAACTTGATCCCTGCTCATTAATCCTAAGATAATTTTGACATCAGGGTAATTCTACTAAGTAAATCGTTGACAGACTCAGAGGATACGCTGGAACAAAGCACTTTGAATCGTCAACATAAATTATAATTAGTTTCTATCTAGTTTTCCACTCCATTTTCGAGCATCTACATCTTTTGAGTCATTAGGCAGCCTTCAGAGAATGGTAAAATCAGCAGAAGATGTCCACTGACATTTGTATGCCTACCTATTTAGGACTGAATCTGACAAGGTTGTTCCCATACTACGACGATCCATGACCACATATTTTTATAAAACTGTTTTTTTTTTCATGGAAAATGGTATAGCCTTGTAAGGTTTTACAGTCTATTTTCAGAAGCAGAATGACTTATAAAAAAATACCCGCACTTATAAATCTTCATCAGTTTTGGCAAGATGGTCTTCTGTTGGTCAATGCAGTGTTCAATTTTTAATCCCTCCCATTTCCAAGAATGTTGTTAATTCCAACTTAAGAACTTGGAAGCATTCAATATTTTCTAAGGGTTGTTTAATCAAAAATTGAGATTTTTTTATTCACTTATTTGCTAGAAATTCATATCAAGGAAACCATGATAGTAAACCACAAATGAATAATGAACATCGTTCTGCTTAAACATTCTGATTCCTTCTGTATGGATCTGATAGACAAACAACTTTTTTATTCCTGAAGTGACTTGTTAAAAATTTACCATCTAGACGATTTTCCCTCATCATGTATTTTTCAGTATTAGCTTTATTTTCTCTGCATTATTTCCTTCTTAACGTGGTAATTTTTTGTGATTCCTTTCAGCCATGACCTTGAGACAAAAAGAACGGCTAACGCCACCAAGACTTTGGATTTGTTGTTTAAAAGCTATGACAAGAGATTGCGACCAAAGTTTGGAGGTAAGGTTGTGCAGTACACAAGTATAGCATAGATGAGTTTGATTTTCTCCAACACCCCAATTATTCTGAATGGGGATGATAAATCAAATTGCCGAGGATTCAGGGAGAAAATTTTCTTAGCGACTGTGACCCTTTTAGAAAACACAACTTTGATAGCGTTTCGGTTTTCTTTTTAAGTTTGTGATAATTCGTTAAAAAAAAGGATGATAGCAAAAGGAAAAGGGCAAAAATGAATCCAGGAAGACGTAAAGAGAGGAGAAACTTACCCCAGCTGAGAATTCAGAAACCGAAAAATCTAAATTACAAAGGGATGCAAAGATTTATACCTTTAGATATAGCAGAGTGATTAAAATAGAAGCAGAATATCTTATTGGGGGAAAAGCATACATAACTTTTATTGTTTCGTTTAATTTTCCTTTTCGTCAGGAAGGCCGGTAACCGTCTATGTTGACCTATACATTGTCGATATTGGTGAAATCTCGGTGACCAGTATGGTAAGATATTTTAGTTTAGATTAACAAGGCTTTTTGTAAAAAAAAAAAGATATCAGGTTCTGATAAAGGATAATAACAAAGTGTAGAACCAATCTTCTTCAAGGCTAATCCGCATGACGAAGAAGACTTGAAAGGTGAGAGTGCAGATATTTCGAGTCCTTTGGCATGACAAACACCAGCCTATTTAACTATAGTTTGGTAGATTACAAAAAAAGCTTCCATTGAATTTAACACTGAAAAGGCGACAAAAGCAAAAAAAAGTGGTGTATCTGACAATTCTTAAGATTCGGTGAATAGCGTTGAGATAAGTCGACGAAGGGTATTTAAATATTCAAATGTGTGTTCTTGTTTGCTTTTTATGTTTGTTTTCTTGTTGTTGTTGTAGTTGTTTTTTTTTTTTTTTTCTATTTCCATCTTTTGATTGTTATCACTGTTTCTCTTATTCTATGCAAAAGGATTATAGGATGACAATGTATTTCCGTCAAACTTGGCAAGATCCACGGCTAAGGTTCAGCGGCACGTCTCAGATTGTCGCCCAGGGAGACATACTGAATAACATATGGATCCCAGACACTTATTTCAAAGATGAAAAGAGGTCAAATTTTCACGAAATCACTAAGAAAAATTATGTGCTGACATTTTGGCCCAACGGAACAGTATTCTTTAGTATAAGGTATGATAAAGCTGCATTGTGCTCTAATGGAAATCGTTATCTTAATAGTAAAAATTGTCATTGGTTTTCCATCCTTTGGTTCTGCGTCGATGGGAAGTGTAACAAGATAACTTGGTTTTAGTATATACTAAAACAACTATTCACCTCATTCGCTCCGACGAAGTAACGCTCGAAACGTCAGCTTTTATAATCGTAACGGTGGCCAATTTACCATTTCAACTTTGTTGATATATTCAAATTATTCACCGCAGTGTCGGTGGCTAGCGGTGGATATTTACCTCGTCGCTTCGCGGCTCCGTAAATATCCACCGCTAAGCACCTCTACTTCGGTTAATAGTTGTTAATTATCAACAGATTTCATAATGTAAATTGGCCACCGTAAAGAGTTTCAAAGGCTAACATTTCGAGCCTTAACCCTTAATCAAATCTCCGACGAATTGCTAACGCTCGAAACGTCAGCTTTGCAAACTCTTTCCAGTGACCAATTTTCATTCACTCAGTTTATAAAAACAAATTATCATGCTGTTTAAAGTTTGTTCCGAACGCATTAGTTTACATTCAATTCAAAAGCTTGGTTGCGTCATTTATTTGAACTATTTTTCAGAGTGGTGTCGGTCAATATCGATTTCCTTAGTCGTGAGCCCAGTTGAATACATGGAGCAACATCCATGAACATTACGGACAAGTTGAAGCAAAAAGAAAAAATTGAAAAAAAACCCCGTGCATACATTGTTTGTCACTTGTGTTAAATACAATAAAATGGGGCATTTTCGAGCCCAATGATTAGTTTTCCAACCGTTGGGATAGTCAAAGTATGTCTTGTTTCAATAACGGAATGGATCAACTGATCAATGTCTGCGGTTAAAGCATAGTCACTAATAAAGAGATTGGCATAATTATCAGTACGACCTCGTCTTCTAATAACAATCGATGTTGATCAACTGATGCATTGCTGAGTGGCGATTCATCAATTTTTTCATCGATGATCTTAGGGCGGATACTGGCAGGGACTTTCGATTCAAAATGAAAGGAAGTATTCTGTTACAGGATTTCAGTCACTGGTGTTTGTCCAATGAAGCTACACAAGTATCCCATGGATTGTCAAAAGTGTCAACTGAACATCATGAGCTGTAAGTAGAGAATATCTCCTGTTTTACCAAAATAGTCACGATAGTTATAACAGAAGGAAGAAAAATGAACGCGCACTTAACAAAGGCTTGTTTTTTGTCTGTGGGAAGCCAAATGTACTGACAGAAATAAGCTTGTTATTCTTCATATTTCAATTCTCAAAACTCTTTTAGCCACATTTAACTTTAAAATTGTCCCATGAAGACTTGGAAACTAGAAATTGACTTGGACTTAACCGTCTGATAAAGGGGAAAATTCCTTTAACGATTTTATAATGCACACCAGTAAACAATCTCATATTTGCGTCAGATTCCTACTCAAAGGTTGACGCCATATACATCTGGAAAAGAGGCCACGAACATTCAGTAGAACAAGCTACTGACATCTCCCTGCCACAGATGGATTTAGTAAGAATCAAAGGTTCGGAGACAACAGATGTGTACTCCACAGGTAAGACAAACAACATGGACTTGAAACAAAAACAAACAAACAAAAAGCTTCGCATTTCTTGCATCATCAAACTAGTTAAAAAAAAGATTTGCCCTTTCTGGAAATCAATCACGAACATAACTTTACTGTCCCCACTTGAAGTTATTGCTCTCTATTTTAGCTCACTAAAACAAAGACGAAATAGAACAACAACTATTTATTTTTAGCCCGAAGTGTTGCTTTAAAGTAATCATCAGAAGGGGCTAAAAAATAGAAGGTTAATAGTTGGTAAACTTATCGATGATCATTGAGATGTTCCTTACGAGAACTGCCATTGGTTACTAGATGTTGTTGCCTTCTATACGGCTCGTTCATGTTTTGACTCCAAGACCTGCTGACAAGCTCAGCTATCAGAGTTCACTGCACTGATGATCATCGACGATTGTATTCTTTAGGGAACTATTCAAGACTTAGTTTGACGTTTACTTTTAAAAGGAGACTAAGTTTGTTCATAACAGAGACGTACCTCCCATCTATTTTGATCGTGGCCTTGTCCTGGATATCCTTTTGGATAAACTACAAGGCGGCGCCTGCAAGAGTCGCGCTCTGCATCACAACGGTGAGACATTACTACCCGGTAATAACAATAACAGCACTGTAAATACATTAACAAATAGAAGACGGAAATGGGTATAGAAGAAAGCTGTCAGTCGATCGTTTGACTTCTCACAGGCTCGGAATAAAGTAGAAAAGGGAATCTCCCATTATTCGAACCCAAGACTTCGGATTTCGCGCTTTGTGGTAAGTAAGTGTAGACATTATCCGCCTGTGGGTAAAATGAAATCCACGAAGTAACTATGTAATCAAATGCGTTTTTATTGAGGCAGATTGATTTAAAATAAGGTAAAGATCGTGCATTAAAAATCAAACGTGGAAAAATCCATCGAATTTGAATCTGTTTGAGGAAACTTGCACCCCAGATCAAAAGTTTTAGCAACGCTAAGTACTAAACAATTCCATGTGTTTTCTAGGTCCTCACTATGATTACTCTCACAGCAGCAGTTCAGAACTCTTTGCCTCGAGTAACTTACACAAAGTACAGCGACTGGATACTTATATTATGTTTAGTGTACGTTTTTGGAGCTCTCGTTGAGTTTGCTGTTATCAACTTCCATGATAGCTTGGAGACGAGAAAGCGAGATAAACTGAACAGGAAGCTTAAGAAAGTTGACTTGGAAATAGGGGTTTGTGATGAAGATCCCATTTTCAATATCATCATCAATATCATTATTCTTAATGTTATCATCACCACTTTAAGTGTTTTTTTGTTTGTGTGTTTGTCTTATGTAACTTAGACATCAAGCGCTTAAGAAAAAAACAACGCATCTGGCAAAGCGAATGCGATAGAGTTGAGTATGCAGTTGATACAATCTAGTTTGTTCTCATTTAAACTCAATTTAAATTTTCGTACCTGTAGCTAAAATAGATTTCCGTAAACTTCATTTGAATAGCACCTATGATATCAATCTTGCTTTTTTCATTTTAGTCTCACGGTGGTTTTGTTCTACACTCTCTTTGTCTTCCATAATTGCATTTTTTTTAATAGATTCTTAATCAGGCCAACTCTTGTTCATCTCCCGATTTTTTCAGAACGGATTCGTATTCAGGCCCTTTCTCGTTCATCTTTCATTTACATTTTTTTTTTCGATGTGTTTTGATCTATTTTTAAATTCCTTTCATGATACTCTCTCATCTAGAGTGACACAGGTGATGGAGAACCCAGTGATCTCAAGACGAGATACTTACAGCGGCAACTGTCTTCATTGCGGGAGAAAATTAAGTCATTTACAGAGCAAGACGTCAATGTAGAAAGGATTGACAGCCGCAGTAGAATTCTGTTTCCGCTGACATTTCTTATAATCAACGTGGCGTTTTGGATTTACTTCGTTATCGACTCCGCCAGAGAATAAATATTAAAAAACGACTGGAAATGCCGATGGAAAGGGTGCAATTGCAAAAGTTTAGCGATTCGAATTTTTTAATTCTTTTGGTTCTCGGATATCGCATCACCATTGCGTTAACTTGCATCCGGAGTTAAGCTTAGAGTGGGAGTGAAAATGAAGTAAAGAACACCGTAAATGTGTTTTGACATTTTTGTAGAAAAGTTTGGGAAAATTCTATATAGTCTGCTTCGCTAAACCTTGAACTTCTGTTTGTCATTGGTCGATTTATGAAGAACGAATGGAAAGTCTTTTTTTGGGAAACAAATGGAGTATCTGGTGTGAACAACTAATTTTGAGCCCATTCGTCATCGTCTCTTCAGGCATATTATTACATCATTGTCTTATGGGGGAGTTTGGTTTCACTCGATTTTATGCCGGAAAGGAAGCTGGAATTTTGATTGACATTGGCATATTAACGGAGAAATCTAACCTCTCATTAGTAAAATAAATCATGTCCCGCGTGAATACAACATCCGCCACACGGTTTCTTTTGTACATGAAATCAACCAGTTATCAACCTCAGGGAAGTTCATGGTATCTTTCGATGTTGAGAGTTTGTTCACTAGTATACCTCTTGATGAATGTATTGATCTGGCGATCAGATACATTTATCAAGGTAACCCTGGTCTTAAGATAAACGCCGCTGACCAAAAACGCTTTTTACCTTCGCAACAGCTGAGACTGGTTTCTTGTTTAAGGGTGTGTTTTATGATCAAATAGATGGGGTTGCCATGGGGTCCCCACTTGCTCCAGTACTTGCAAACCTCTTTATGGGACATCATGAAAAAAACTGGCTAGATAACTATTCATTCTCTGAAGTTCTGTTCTACAGACGCTATGTTGATGACACCTTTTGTTTGTTCAATAGCGAGGAGGACGCGCTCGTGTTCTTTGATTATATCAACGCCAGGCATCCTAGTATTCGTTTCACAATGGAAAAGGAAATTGATAAGAAATTATCGTTTCTAGACATATTGTTAGACAACAATCATACATCCATCGTCACTAGTGTATATCGCAAGAAGACGTTTACTGG